ATTTTTTCCTTCGTGCAAATCAGAATCTTCTACTTTTTCTATAAAGTATGATTAAGTAATGGAAGACAAAGGTTGTTTAAATGTGTCCTCAGCTACTTTTTATTATCTGTCCGTGCTCCAGGTAACCTGCTAACCCCTAAAGGGGCCTGGACCCACGACGGGGAGTCAGTACATCTTGGTTTGTGCTGTGTGTGACCTCGGGCATGCTGCTTAGGGTGGAAAGTATTTGTACCCATTTTTTATAGATGGCTACAGATGCACAGAAAGGACCCACACTGTGCCCAAGATCCCATAGCTCATGGCACTGGAGCTGGATTTTGAACCCAGGTGTACTGATTCTAGGTCCAGGATTTTCTACATGACATCACAGCCACCCCTCTCGGAGCCTCATCTCTAAAATGACAGGTCAGAATACAGTCCCTTCCAGCTGAAAATATTCAGTGTCCACAGGGACTTGCCCCCTCCCCCACCACTCCTGGTGCATCGCAGGCCCGAGCAGTTGGTATTTGTTTGTGCCTGTTTGTCAGATGCCAGCCTTCTCCAGGCCAGCGGGACTCCAGGGTAGGGTTTGGAGAACTCGGGCCTGCCCACGGCCATCAGGAAAGGGGGTGGGGTGCTCTTGGGCCGGGCATCTGGCCCTGTGCCTGCAGAGCCAGGCGAGAACTGCCCACGAGGGCTGGCCGGGGGCCCGGAACTCGTCTTTCCCTTTAAACAGACACAGGCAGTCTGTTGAGATTCTGGAAACATCTGACCTTTTGCAGAACATCTCAAGGGTTGTCAGGGAGGGCCAGAGGGAGGGCCCTCGCCTTTTTCAAGTGCTTTAACCCTTTCCACAGAACCCTTAACCACAACAACAAGGAAAGAGATCGGTTTCCAGGGAACCGGAAAGATTTGTTGGGCCTGTTTTCCTGTGGGTTGTCTGGGGAGGTAGATCACGTCTGGGGCTCAGAAGAGACTTTTAGCCCAGAGACCTCCAGTGTCATTTTTTCAGTTTCTAGTCTCAGGGGAGGAGGCCTGGGGAACAGGACAGAGGGCCTAGAGGGAGGAGAGGGACTGAGAGAACTAGGCAGACAGCTCGGCCAGCCCTGAGCTGAGGCCCTACCTGATGGCCAGGGACTTAGGGCTGGAGCGGGAACTGTTCCTTTGACTGACTGAGCAATGTACTCCTTCATTCTTCCTTCGGATGTTTATAGGGCACCTACTGTATGCCAGGAACTGTGTGAGGCTCTGTGACACAGCGGCCAAGTAAACCCAGATACATATATATGTATATAGATATATATCTCTCTCTATATACATATATATATATGTCCCATGCATTCGTGAGGGAGTAGACTCTGATCCAATAGTCACAGTCACAAATATCAATACAATAGCGTACGTGCTAGGAAGGAGAGACGCACAGTGCCGAGAGGGCCCGATGGCCCGATGGGGAGATTTCATTTCGGTGGGTGAGTCCGGGGAGCTTTTCCAAGGAGAAGTTCCAGCAAGGGCCTCAGGCTTTGCTGCTTGAAGACAGCACATCTGCATCTCATGGAAGCCTATTAAAATGCAGAACCTGCGTCCTCACCCCAGGCCTGCCTGCAGTATCTAAGTCTGCATTTTAACAAGTTGTCCCATGTGATCTGTATACATAGGAAGGTTCGAGAAGCTGTGCTAAGCTGTTGAACTAGGTACGGCTTGAAACTGGAGGAGAACCTTCCAGATAAGAGTCCTGGGGCGGATGTCTGTGTGTATATGCACCAAAAAAAATAAAAATAAAAAAAAAATAACCACCTTTCTGTGGGAGAGACTTAAGCTTGCTTAAAAGCTTTTAGGAATAAGCCAGTGGAGAGGGAGGGAGGGAGAGTCAGACTTGTCAACCTCTGCTGCAAGCTGGAATCTCCTGGGGAGCCTGAAAAAGTGGTGCTGGCTGGGCCCACCCCCAGAGACTTGATTGTCATGATCTGCCAGCTACCCAGGGGATTCCAGCTGCATCCAGGGCCAAGAGCACCACTATTTGGTTGCAAAAAAGGCTAGGAGTAGAAGGGCAGACTTGGGGAGTGGGTGGGGCCTTTTAGCGCTGCTCTTGCATTCTGGTTTTGGATGTTATTGCCAAATAAATTTCTACTGATAGCATTGTATTCATGTGGGTGTGTTAAAAGCACTAATTTGTTGTGTTTAAACATTCCAAATGACTGCCTTTTTTTTTTTTTTTTTTAAATTTTGAACCTGGTTTTGGCATGCTCTCCATCCATCCCCAGACTACCACCACCTTGTTCGTGAAGGTAGCCTGGGTCTCTCTCAGTGCAACTAGGAAAAAGATAAGGGAGGCCCCATCTGATGACGCCTACCTCATAGGGGAAGTCAAGGGAGAGCGTTGGAAGCTTGGGGAGAAGGGGGAAGGTTGAAGGGAGTTGTCCCGGACAGTCAGTGGTACAGAGAGGAAACCAAAGAAATGAGTAGGCCGGCCAGGAGGTGTTGAGAGTCCCCTCTGAGACTGCCGACCTGTATTTGCAGTGGGACCGTCCTCCCTGAGTGACACTCCCCAGTCACTGCTCACAAAGAGGTATGGAGAGGGGGGATCCCAGAGCTTGTCCAGAGCTTCCTACAGAAGGTGAAAATATAGTGGTGAGGGAGCTCGGGGAACCGAGGCGATGAGATGATCGGAATGAATAGTTTACCCTCCATCAGGTAAAGAGAGAACAAAGGAAGGGAAAGGCTAAGGACCAAGAGAAGGTGGAGAGGCGGGGGAGGTCCCAGGAGGCTCAGAGGGAGGGAGTGTGTGAAAGCACAGCATGGCCAGAGAGGGGGGCCTGAGGGTGGATCCTGCTCAGGGAGCCATCATTGATGGTGGAATGAGAGTGGCGGTCGGTGCGGAGTGTGGAGGGGTCACTGGAGACCTAGGAAACCAGATGCAGATGTGTCTTCACCCAAGACAGTGACAGGGCTGTAGGTGGAGAAGGCCTGGGAGCCATGTGCCAAAGTCTCCAGTGACTACAGGGGAGTGGCCAGGAGGTGGATGGACGACCTCAGGGCTTTCCCCAAAGGATGGATGGAGGGGCATGGGGCTGTGATCCCAAAATGTATGGATGGAACCCAAGGTCCAGGGAGAGCCGGGGAAGGTAGGGGAGGAGACGGGATGGGGCAGAGCCAGGGAGTACAGGGTATTAGGGAGGGTGCCAGTGAAGTAGAGAGAAAAATCAGTGAGGTGAAGGGTTTTCATTTACGGCAGTCCTTCCCAAAGTGTGCTTTCGCTACCTTCGTCGGTGTCATCGCCTCGTCACTTGGGAACTTATGTGATATGCTGATTTTCGGGTCCCACCTCAGACCTACTGAATCAGCTGGGTGGGGTCCAGCAATCTGCTTTAACAAGCTTTCTGGTGATTTTGATAGATGCTCCAGTTGGAGACCTGTGGGAATATGGTACTGGGAAAAGCAGCTCCCTTTATGGAAAAAATAAAACTGAATCCCAATTTATTATCCCCTGAAAAAGTGGACTCCATATAGATTAAAACTTAAATTTCAAAATTTCAAAAGCACAAATCAAGGCAAAAAAAAAAAAATCCATCAGTTTGATTAATCAGTATTAAAGATTTCTGCCCAGGGATGGATATATTGACAAGATTACCAGATGGCAAGATTGGGAGCATGTATTTGTGACATTTAAAGCTGAAAAGAGACTAATATCTAGATCTAGAATATACTAGGAACTTCTGCAAGTCAACGAGAAAAAGATGGGACTCACATGTGGGAAAATGGCCAAAACATAAATACGCGATTCACAGAAGGAGAAATGTAAGAGCTAATAAACAGATGTAAAAATGTATAAGAAATCAGGGAAATACAAATTAAAAGTTTCAGTTATAATAGCCCCAAGCTTCCAAAGTGGAAACAACTCA